CACCAGCGATCCGTTCCATACAGCCCTCAGCAAAACGCAGTGATAGAACGTATGAACAGGACAATCACGGAGAAGGCCCTCAGTATGCTGCTTTACAAGGCCGTTCTAACAGAATGGTGGGCGGTAGCGGTGAATACGGCGGTTTACCTATTCAACCGCTCCCCCAGTACAACCCATCCTGATATCACGCCAAACGAATTGGCTTTCAAGGTGCAGCCCTAAATGGGTCATATGCGCGTATTTGACTCGCAAGGTTACGCTCATGTCGGCAATGTAAAAATAACTAAGTTGGAGCCCAGAGTTTCAAGTGTACGTTTCTCGGCTACGCGGAAAATTTCAGAGGCTATCGCTTGTTTGACTTGTAGAACGCCAAGGTTAAAGTGATCCGCTCTGTGAAGCTGGATGAGCATGAAATCGATGACGTCTGCGACACTCAAGCACTAAGCCAGAAACAATTGTTTAAGAAATCAAGGACAATGCTGAAATCAAAATTCAGCATCAAGTGGAAATACAGCCAATGATGGACAACCCCATGGAGGCAACGGAAGAGCCAGTTATGGATGTCGAAATGAGCGATATCGAGCGATCGCCGATCGTCGATGTACATCAGCTAATTCCTTCTGAGCGCTCTTCCAGAAACAGGAGATAGGGGAGTACCGTCCAGTGTCTCAAATTAAGCAAGAAAAATGTCTGGTGTTGTGACCTGGGGCGATAAGAGCAAGAGGAAGACGTGAGCCGGTGCTGATATTAAGGAACAGCTCAGATGATGAAGAGTCAAGACAAGGCAGTGATGGCCCACCGACTCTAAAGCGTGCTAGGATTGATGAAGACGAACTCAGTGCAGATGCTGTTCTTGTTTACGCCGCGAGCGTTGACGACGACACCGACTTACCACCTACGGATGCTCAAGCAACGGCAAGCGACGAGGCAGAAAAGTGGTGTGACTGAGCTTTGCTCTCATGAATAGAATCAAGCGTGGACATTGAAGCCACGAGGTAAGATCAGCCGCACAATCTGATCACGAAGAGTTCTTGCGAAGAAGCGTGACCAAAATGGCACTATCGTGCGGTACAAGGCACAACTGGTCGCGAAAGGTTTCAAGCAAAAGTATGGCGTCGATTTTTCTAGGACTTATTCCCGGTTGCCAACATGAATTCGATCCGGATAATTCGCGTAGTATGCGCGGAATGCGACTATCAAATGGAACAGCTGGATGTCGAAACGGCTTTTCTCAACAGCGTGTTGACAGACGACGTTTTTATGGAAGTCTCGCTTGGTGTCGACAACGCTCAAGATTACGTGTGTCAGAACAAGACATTTACGGATTGAAGCACGTAGCAAGTGCTTGGAACAAGACAATACATCATGTTTATGCGGCGAATGGCTTCAAGAGCTGCGGAGCGAACCACTGATTTGATGTCACGAGCTCCCAAGAAGATTTCGTCTACGTTGGACTCTATGTGGATGATATGATTATTACAGCAAGAACTAGCAAGGAGATCAATCAGGTAAAGGAAGTGCTCAAGAATGCTTTCGAAGGAAAGAATTGGGCAAGGTAAAGTTTATTTTGGGCATGGAAATCTGCCACGACAGGTCAGCTGGGATGCGTATGATCAAGCAGACCCGATATATCGACGACGAGGTCAGTCGACTTCGTCAACAAGATACCCAGTGCGTAGATAACCCGTGTGCATCAGGATTGAAGTTGCCGTCATCACAGCCACCCACAACGGAAGAAGAGCGTTTGATACTGCGCAAGAAGCCATATCGATCTTTGACTGGTTGCCTATTGAGATCACGGCATACACTCGACCGGACATTGCGTACGTGGTCACGCAGCTATCACATTTTTTTGGAGAACCCTGGGCTGCAACATTGGAGCGCGGTTGTTTGCGTATTACGCTATCCGAAAACTACGCGCCAAACCGAAATCGTCTACTGAGGCAGTGAGAGCGTTAAAGTCAAGGCGTACTTGGGTGCAGATTGGAGCAGCAACACCGATGACAGACGTTCAGTATCAGGAGTGGGATTATTATCGCAAATGCACCCGTAGCATTCAAGTCGAAGGACCAGCGAACTGTTGCTGTCAGCTCAGCTGATGCTGAGTATATGGCCCCCAGTCTTTGCACACAGGAAGTTCGTTGGACACGAGCAATGCTCAAGGACACGGGTCACGAGCAAGTTGAAGGCACGAAGATGTGGGAAGATAATCAAGGAGCAACCGCATTGGCCAATTACGTCGGATATCATGCAAGAACGAAACATGATGATTTTAACCACTTCATTTGTGTGAACGTGCAAAAAGGACGATTGAAGATTGAGGATATTGACACGAAGTATCAGCTTGCGGATATGCCGACGAAAGCACTCAGAACCAAGTTGCTGCAGTATTTGCGTGAGGCTTCCGGAATCAAGACCAAGTCAGCAACCAAGCATAACCATTACTAGCGGTGAGTGGGAGTGTTAAGATTGCGCCGCTGAATGGCCCGATAAGGCGATTATATGGCCGCGATTTCATACGACGGTTTAAGCAAGTCGGTCACGACTGTTAAATAGGACGTAATTACGGATATGATAATAGTCGCTTATTAGTTTAGATAAATGAGACTGCTTGTAGAAGCTTCTAAAAGAATCTAGAGGGATAGCCGTAAAAGCAGCACAGGTAAGCAAACTAAGGACCTAAATATCTTCACTTTGGTCTTTACCTTCTATTCAATAAGTTCTTACAACATACAATTGACTTCATTACAGGTGTTAATCATATTAAAGCCGATGACCAACCGATTATCACCAACAACTGAAAATATGCAGCGGGGCTGCCGTAGCGTTGCGCTTAGAGGAAGCGTAATTTAAGTCACCAACCTTTTGTTCTATACTTAGAACAAATACGAGTTAGCAGATCGCAATCCGCTTACTCCAAGAGTAATTATCGCCTTAAGCCAAGGCTACTTAACTCTTTCGTTTAAAAAGCAAAACTTCTTTTTATTTATTTTAATCTGCGGCAAAGCCGCCTAATTTTAAATATGTAGATTTTCCTAAATATATAGGAAAATCTAAATACATGCATAACAACTGGCTACCTAGCCACAAAACGTATTCTTGTTTGGGTGCAGTCACACTATACCCATCTTGTGTGACACACACCCCTGTTACCAGGGTACGCGTAACCCCGTTACACCCCCCCATTAAGATATTTACAGTTCCAATCGATTATTGCCTCTACGAGGCTCGCGTGTCCGCTAGACACTGCGGCTTGGTTCGTTGGAATAAAACGACTTCCCTGCTCAGTGAGCCCTGTGTCAACGACACTGAAGTCACCAAGTCTCGCTGGTTGTGACAGCGAACACGGGCAGAGCCCAGCTTCGTCTCCCGCGCGCGGTGCAATGTCGAACAGTGCGTCCGCGGCACCGGGGGATTTATATCCTAGTCTCGATGAGCACAAACGACGCACTCCGCGCATGCTATCAATGACGAGTGACCTCGTTGAGGATGTGGGGGTGGACGACTACGAGCCTGACACTCCTTTTCTCGCATGGGATGACGAGGAAGGCGAGCTGCGCCAGCGGCGTGAGACGAGCCCTGCTCGC